ATTTGTCTTAAAAGTCGGAGCAAATCATATGTGAGTACAAGAATCGGGCGCTTCTTCTGCACCCCGACAAACACGATGACAAGGAATCGGAGGAACTGTTCAAACAGTTGGTCAAAGCCAAAGAGGTGTTAACTGATCCGCAGATGAGGAAACAGTACGACAAATGGAGAAGCAGTGGAATAGCCATTAGTTTCGAAGAGTGGAATCGTTTGGGGAAAGGGGCGCACACTTCCATGCATTGGAGGAATGACTACAAAAGGGATCTCATGATAGGTAATGGAGATAATGGAGATAATGAGAGCTCAGACCAACGCCAACACCGGTCTGGAAGTGGTTCCAGAGTGATCGCCACGGATTGGAGCAGTGATTGCAATGGTATGCTCAAGAAGTTTCGCAATTATGACATTTAAGTTATTTGTTACACGTGTTGATACAGTATTTGACATTTTTATCATTTTCGCTGTCATTAAGTTTTCATATTTTATATCATTTTCGTTATACATAAACAAAATTTATTGAAACTTTTATTCTTAATTACAAATCAATGTTAAAACAACTAATTATCGATTCAATCGATTTNCAATGTTAAAACAACTAATTATCGATTCAATCGATTTTAATTCAGACAAACGTGTCTACAAACAAAGTATTATATGAACTGTAAGGAACTGTAGGGAACGGGAGTGGAGGGTAACCCTAGGAAAGGAGTTATTATGGGAGAGATTTATGGGTTAAAAACTAAATTGTTATATAATTATATAATTCCTATTTTATGGCAATTAATCGTAAATCAAATCTAATTACAAATATATATAAATGTCTCGTTTTGGTTGTAATCCATAAGTGGTGTGATAATTACAATAAAAACCCTATCATTGACTCATGTCTTCAGTTGCCTTTCTTCTGGACAATAAGTGGTCCGACATTATCCCCGGTGTCCTCATTGTGTTTGATGTGCGCGCCGTCACATAAGGGGAACTTCTTGGAGCGCCAGCACCGGCAGAACACCGTCTTCGCGCCCATGTCCTCGATGTCGAAAGAGTCCACCACTTTGTCCGCGTCCTTCTTCACGCACTGATTAACACACGACTTCTTGGCGTCGCTGTTGGCCGCGGCGGAAGCGCTCTTGCATTTCAATGTCATGTAAACGGCATAACCGACCGCAACAGCCGTTCCCACCCATAGGTACGGATTGCAGGCGTGGACGTGACCTTCAGGTAGAGATATNTCAATATATTCAATTTCATGTAAGTTTTCAAATATTCTGTGCTTAAAATAATACCTAAATGTTTGGTTACAAACATAGCCACTGCTGGAGTGACAGAACACGGATCTGCTTATAATATACTCTTAATATACGAGCATTTGTTGCAAAGAAGTGCCTTTAATATGACTTTAGGACCTTTTGGACACATCAGAGGTAAGCGATTAGAATATAAAAACTAATTTTGTTAGCAAATAATCTCTTAATAATGTGTTAAAACTAATGATGAATTATAGGAAAGGATTTTTTATGCGTCCAATCGCTCGATGGAAATCTAGTCTTCTATGAACAGGAAAGCCTAGCGTTTAATAGGTTTCTTCCCAACTCTTTACTTCCCGGTGCGATGATATACATACCACATAGCGACTCATTTATTGTGGCCACACCTTTGTGGACAATTGAAAGCTACAGATACCAAGTGCTAGCCATCGCTAATAGCGATGACAATACAAACGCAAACAGCGGTACAAACAATGTTCACGTGAAGGGCAGAAAAGTGACACCCGATTGGAGCTTATCTTTAGGCGAATCCGTAATCGACATGAAAGCGATTTTACTTGAGAAATCAAATTATTATATAATAGTTTTGGGCGAAAGAAATCTCTACTCTCTGAAGGAAAACGGGAGCATTTGGTTCATGAAGAAGCTGGAGTTCAACCCGACCTGTTTGACCGCCTATGCCAACGACACCAACGACGCGATCATATCGTTGATCGTGACGGACGTGTCCACACTCATCATCTACAGCAACGACCGGGCGATGTGGGCCACGCAACTGCCCTTCACGCCCATCGCCATCCAACGGGCCTTCTTTGCCAACCTGACCGGCGCCGTCGTGTGTCTCTCGGACGAGGGACTCGTGTGTTGCGGATATTTGGGAACCAATCCGTCCATTAAGATAGTGTCGGTGCCCAACATTCACAGTCAATTCAATTACACGGAATCGGAGACAGAATTGCAAGAATTGCGAACAATTATCAATTCACACAACTTGGAGGGCAATAAAATGGACACAACAGTGGTCCGCAATGATGTGACAATAAATATCACTGACGTTCAGACCATCTCCGGCGTCATGAACTCCAAGATATCAAATCCGTTGTTCAAAATCACGATTCAATTGCAAACGACGAGTACAGCAAACAATGTGCGGTTAGCGCTGGAAATGCATAACTCATTGGTATCCGAACCCAATATCATCACAATTTCGTCCATTAGTAACACGTCGGAGCCGACGCTCAACGAAATTGTCATTTACAAGAATAACCTACTGTTCCCCGCATCGACTAAAGTGGACCTCATTGTCAACTACACCAATGAGGACGGTGCGCCCAGGGTTATATCCAAATGCATTCACATTCCCATCAATATATTCACCAAACTTTGTACACCAGTCAAAGAGGCTGAACATAAAGTTACTTTAGATATCATAAATAGCGGACAACCCATCAGTTTAGGAGAACTATTCTCGGATTTGTTTGACTCCGACAACAGCAGCACTTCCGCCATCGGTCTGGAGATATGCGACGACCACAACATCGTCTCAATCTATTCAGTAATTAAATCGTCGAATCAAAGGGTTGTCATACAAAGTGAATCCTTGGGTGGAATGGCATTCATTACTAACGAATTGATTCGCCGATTGGCTAAAAACAGCATTAAATACGATGTCTCTAATATGGACATCAGTTTCATACCGTTAAACAAACTGTTTGCACTGATAGACGAGCACCTGGTGGCCAGACATAAATTGCTGGATTTACAGACACGTCTGGCCGACAGTGCCACACAATTCCGGGCCATTCAGAAGCGTTTGCTAATTAAGCTAAAAGACCGAAACCCAACGCCTTTAAACAATTTGGAGACTTTGCTGAAAGTATCGCAAACTCAGGTCTCGTCAAACATTTAAGAAATTTGTATTCATTTCTTATTTCGTAAAATTATTTTCAATTTTACAGATCAATAGTTTTGCGGACAAATTAATAAAAGCGACGAATGACGTGAACAACAAGAGCTCGCATTTAAGTTGTGCCGTAAATCTAATCTTCAATTTGCTGGTCATCTCAAAGGGCACGCAAACCGACTCATTGAAAGCCATTCACTCTATTCTTACGAATTATATTTCTCATGATATCGAAGAGGTATTGAAAAGTTTATGTTTTATATTTTACCCCAGAATTTGATACTTAAAAACAATTTCTCATTCATTGAAGGGTTGGGAAGAGAGGACTGAATTGTGTTTAATGACTGTACTCGAGAGCTATGGCAAAGACGTGGCGAACGCCACGAAAATCAATGAACAGCTGACTATACCCGAGACCAGCGATACCATCAAACGACTCATCAATATATTAGTGAATCGTATCTTCAAAGGCGAAAACCTCAGCAATAAAGACATGACTCGTGAGATGAAAACCAATAGAAATTTTACGCAAAACTCAATCATCAATGAAGAGGAGGAATATACGGAACAACTGTCTGGTGACGAGTGAAACCACGACATGATTGGTGTCTAATCATAAAATACACACCAATTAAATGCAAACAAACAACCGATTAATTCGTAAAATAAGAAAATCAAGGATTTATTTGTATTTCAAAACAAATGTCAATCAAATACACAAAAATAAATTGACTTCTTTTGCAATGCTGTGCATCACTCATACGGTGGTGTGAATGATGGTCGCCACAACTCATTGAACAGCAAATCAATTGTTATAGTAATCAGAATTTGGACCAATTGGTGGTCAATCTGAACGATTGCATTGCCATTAATGCCATCAATAATAAGTCAGTTGATAGTCCCGACGGAAACCAATATTTTCAGAGCAATCATCAGATTATAGGCATAATCGACGGCAACCCTAACGAAACCAAAGTGATTGCCGCCAATGAGTTGAGCGCAGGCTTTGACGACTTGAACACATTTCTGGCGACTTCTTTGTCACCCAATCAGACACAGGAATGCGATGCAAATGAAGCCAAGAGTTGGCTCAACGACAGTCTCATTGCATACCGAGCTATGGCTGCGTTCAAGAAAGTTATGCCAAACGACACGCCGAGTCCCACGAGTGGTATACAAATACCTGTCCAGAAACCACTAAACAATTGAGTGTTTTTTGTGACAAACTTTGAATTAGATTTGTAAGACGAATGAACACTAATTTGCAACAAATACTGACAGATATTCGTGACTTTATATACTGTGATATATATGATGTGTATTTAAACAAAATTCTATATTAATTTGATTATAATATTGAATATATTTTGGACAAACAAATTGTTATTCGCCTTACAATTAGAGAATAAATCAATCAATTGATTGGTTTGTCTCGTATTTTGACTCAAAATCTTATTCACTACAGAATTTTATTGCAAATTCATTATTCATTATATTTTGCAAAATGAATATTTTAAATGATTTAAAAATGAGAACAGATATTATTATAATGACTTTAAATACAATGAAGTCTTCTCTGATTCCAAAGTAATGTAGAGTCGATCCAAATGCCGTCAAATATTTTGATTCAAATATATATATATATACACTTGACCACTAGGTTTTGTGAAGTGACCCGTGCGGACAAAAAAGTTCATAAAACTTGATTAGTTCACAAAATTGGGTATTTATTTCAATAACTTTTAAAACTCATTACAATAGTGTATTAAATCATTAATTAGTCTCTTGAATCGTTAAAAACCTCTCAATTTTTGTTTGTTTAAAGTTTTTAAAAGTATTTTCTGTTATCTTTTGTTGCATTCGAGCGAATTGTGTGTCAAATGAGTTGTCATTCATTTGCAAAAAATACTTTTGCAATTCATTCATGTATTTGAAGGCATCACTTGTAGACACTTTGGATTCTTTGACAACTTCTGAATCGCTTTCGGATTCAATGTCCGTTTGGTTCGCATAAACTTCTTGTATTATCTCTTGATCTGAGAGAACATTAGTTTCATAAACAACTTCATTGTCATCCACTTCAACAAATCCATCAAATTCTTCGAAATCTAATTCAGTCATCAATGACAGCGATTCCCAGATATCATTAACATTTGATTCAATATTTTCTTCACTCTCTTCTGATATCTCTATTTCTGTTGTTCTTTCAAAACGAAACAATGCTTTACGAAAACAATTAGTAATAACTGTTGTATTAATGCTATTCAATGAAGTGTTAATTAAATTCATTGCACATAACAAATCAATAGGTTTCATATAATCATTAGAAGTTTGGTAGTGATTGATCAAAACCCCAACAATTTGGCGCCGATAGTGAGCCTTAAAACTCCGTATAATTCCCTGATCTAAAGGCTATTTAAATATAATTATATTTATAAAACAGTAAACTTATCATTTATAATACCTGTAGAACAGAAGTGGTATTCTTAGGGAAAAACTCTATCTTTAGATTATCATATTGACCATCGATGACGTGTGCGGGACAGGAGTCTATAAATAGTTTAATATTTCTTTTCTCTTTTCGCATTCTTCTGTCAAATTTTTTCATAATTTTGTTGAATATACTTGAGTTCATCCAAGCATTGGTCTGACTGTGATATTCAATTGGTAGTCGTTTTACACGTCTGAAAGCTCTTGGATTACGACTCCTTCCTATTACTATAGCTTTTCTGTCAGTACCAGAAGCGTTGCATAAGAGGACAACTGTTATGCGATTCCTTATCTGCTTTTTGCCAGACCTGGAATCACTTCCAAACGCATATGTCTTGACAGGTAAGAGACAGTAAAACAGAGCCGTCTCATCAAGGTTATAGACATCGTCGGCACTAAAGTCTTTGATTTTCTCATTCAATTGGTGATCCCAGCCCTCAATCACTTCAGTTGATACCGAAGCACTTTCGCCGTTCATTTTAATCCATTGAATGTCTGCACGTCTTTTAAGTCCTTTGAGATAATTATCACTTGCTTTGAATCCACTGTAACCCATGTTATCAGCAAACTCTTTAGCCTTTGCTTTGATTACTTCGGCCGACAAACTAATCTTCTTATCTCGCATTTGTCTCATCCATAACACGAGCGCTTCTTCCACATCGGGATAATCAGATCCTCTGATATAAGACGTTGTCTTCAATGCCTTTGATCCCAACCTCTCGTATTCGGTAATAATTTTCTTCCTATTCTTCAATAAGTTAGTCAAATGTGAAGCACTTCTTAGTTTATATTCAGTGAGAATTAAATTGCGTTTAACACCGTTGTCTAACTTCTTAATTATATCATACTTTTGTTTTAACAACAATTTATTTCTCGCCTTTGACGACATTTTGTCAATGTATGTAAAAATGTGTAACAAATGTGATTTGATTTGCAATAAAAATGTAAAACTTTTTGATACAGTTTGAGACGGAGTTCACAAAACTTGAGTTATTTTTCTATTGTTTTGTATAGAAATGGTTTGATATATTGGTTCATAAAAAGGGGTATTTCATAAAACCTGAGTTCACAAAAGTGGGTATAATTTTACATTAGGTTCTATGTAAGTGGCTTTGGTTTTGACAATTAGTTCATAATTCCCGAAATGTCATAAAACCTGGACTTCACAAAACTTAGTGGTAAACTGTATTTTATTATTATTTAAAATCATTTAACGCACTAAAAGCCAGAATTAAGTGAAGTGTTCATAAAAAAAAGATTGCAATGCATTTAAAATATCGCTATTGATTGCCAAATCATTTACAGGTAACTTGTATTCCAGTAGTAATGAAGTGAAATGAAAAAAGAGAGACAAATCAATAAATGTTAGGAATAGATGTGTTTGTTATTAATTCTCAGTAACTATAATAAATATAATGTTATGTTTGGTATCCTTCGTGACAAAACTCCAGTGCAATACTTTTCTCATACAAAATACTCACTTATATACGGAATGAGCGCTTAATTGTCACCAATTGTCACGATGTCTCTCTTCAGATTCAAAGACTGGTGGAGTGTCCAGTCGGCTAATGGCGAACACTTCGGCCATTATTCTCTTTGTGTGGCTAATATAGACAATTCCATCAGCGGTTCTGGTTAGTCATCCATGTCAACCACATCCATGTACTATTCAAATACACAAAATATTTTAAACCAATTTCAGACAAAATAATTATCGGAAGTTTGAGTGGAATCTTAAGGTTATATTCTGTGGGCTCTAACCCTACGGAAGATGGCTTACCACAGTTTCAAGCGAGTGATCTACTCATGGAAATGGACTTTAAGAATCCTATACTCCAAATATGTACGGGACTACTATTGTCGGCCACCACTAACATTCAATTAGCAGTATTACACCCCAAAAAACTGTCAATATATTCAATTTCATGTAAGTTTTCAAATATTCTGTGCTTAAAATAATACCTAAATGTTTGGTTACAAACATAGCCACTGCTGGAGTGACAGAACACGGATCTGCTTATAATATACTCTTAATATACGAGCATTTGTTGCAAAGAAGTGCCTTTAATATGACTTTAGGACCTTTTGGACACATCAGAGGTAAGCGATTAGAATATAAAAACTAATTTTGTTAGCAAATAATCTCTTAATAATGTGTTAAAACTAATGATGAATTATAGGAAAGGATTTTTTATGCGTCCAATCGCTCGATGGAAATCTAGTCTTCTATGAACAGGAAAGCCTAGCGTTTAATAGGTTTCTTCCCAACTCTTTACTTCCCGGTGCGATGATATACATACCACATAGCGACTCATTTATTGTGGCCACACCTTTGTGGACAATTGAAAGCTACAGATACCAAGTGCTAGCCATCGCTAATAGCGATGACAATACAAACGCAAACAGCGGTACAAACAATGTTCACGTGAAGGGCAGAAAAGTGACACCCGATTGGAGCTTATCTTTAGGCGAATCCGTAATCGACATGAAAGCGATTTTACTTGAGAAATCAAATTATTATATAATAGTTTTGGGCGAAAGAAATCTCTACTCTCTGAAGGAAAACGGGAGCATTTGGTTCATGAAGAAGCTGGAGTTCAACCCGACCTGTTTGACCGCCTATGCCAACGACACCAACGACTCGATCATATCGTTGATCGTGACGGACGTGTCCACACTCATCATCTACAGCAACGACCGGGCGATGTGGGCCACGCAACTGCCCTTCACGCCCATCGCCATCCAACGGGCCTTCTTTGCCAACCTGATGGGCGCCGTCGTGTGTCTCTCGGACGAGGGGCTCGTGTGTTGCGGATATTTGGGAACCAATCCGTCCATAAAGATAGTGTCGGTGCCCAACATTCACAGTCAATTCAATTACACGGAATCGGAGACAGAATTGCAAGAATTGCGAACAATTATCAATTCACACAACTTGGAGGGCAATAAAATGGACACAACAGTGGTCCGCAATGATGTGACAATAAATATCACTGACGTTCAGACCATCTCCGGCGTCATGAACTCCAAGATATCAAATCCGTTGTTCAAAATCACGATTCAATTGCAAACGACGAGTACAGCAAACAATGTGCGGTTAGCGCTGGAAATGCATAACTCATTGGTGTCCGAACCCAATATCATCACAATTCCGTCCATTAGTAACACGTCGGAGCCGGCGCTCAACGAAATTGTCATTTACAAGAATAACCTACTGTTCCCCGCGTCGACTAAAGTGGACCTCATTGTCAACTACACCAATGAGGACGGTGCACCCAGGGTTATATCCAAATGCATTCACATTCCCATCAATATATTCACCAAACTTTGTACACCAGTCAAAGAGGCTGAACATAAAGTTACTTTAGATATCATAAATAGCGGACAACCCATCAGTTTAGGAGAACTATTCTCGGATTTGTTTGACTCCGACAACAGCAGCACTTCCGCCATCGGTCTGGAGATATGCGACGACCACAACATCGTCTCAATCTATTCAGTAATTAAATCGTCGAATCAAAGGGTTGTCATACAAAGTGAATCCTTGGGTGGAATGGCATTCATTACTAACGAATTGATTCGCCGATTGGCTAAAAATAGCATTAAATACGATGTCTCTACTATGGACATCAGTTTCATACCGTTAAACAAACTGTTTGCACTGATAGACGAGCACCTGGTGGCCAGACATAAATTGCTGGATTTACAGACACGTCTGGCCGACAGTGCCACACAATTCCGGGCCATTCAGAAGCGTTTGCTAATTAAGCTAAAAGACCGAAACCCAACGCCTTTAAACAATTTGGAGACTTTGCTGAAAGTATCGCAAACTCAGGTCTCGTCAAACATTTAAGAAATTTGTATTCATTTCTAATTTCGTAAAATTATTTTTAATTTTACAGATCAATAGTTTTGCGGACAAATTAATAAAAGCGACGAATGACGTGAACAACAAGAGCTCGCATTTAAGTTGTGCCGTAAATCTAATCTTCAATTTGCTGGTCATCTCAAAGGGCACGCAAACCGACTCATTGAAAGCCATTCACTCTATTCTTACGAATTATATTTCTCATGATATCGAAGAGGTATTGAAAAGTTTATGTTTTGTTTTACCCCAGAATTTTGATACTTAAAAACAATTTCTCATTCATTGAAGGGTTGGGAAGAGAGGACTGAATTGTGTTTAATGACTGTACTCGAGAGCTATGGCAAAGACGTGGCGAACGCCACGAAAATCAACGAACAGCTGACTATACCCGAGACCAGCGATACCATCAAACGACTCATCAATATATTAGTGAATCGTATATTCAAAGGCGAAAACCTCAACAATAGAGACATGACTCGTGAGATGAAAACCAATAGAAATTTCACGCAAAACTCAATCATCAATGAAGAGGAGGAATATACGGAACAACTGTCTGGTGACGAGTGACACCACGAGATGATTGTGTCTAATCGTAAAACACACACCAATTAAATGCAAACAAACAATCGATTAATTCGTAAAATAAGAAAATCAAGGATTTATTTGTATTTCAAAACAAATGTCAATCAAATACACAAAAATAAATTGACTTCTTTTGCAATGCTGTGCATCACTCATACGGTGGTGTGAATGAGACAACGAGTGGCCGACACATTGCGTTCATTTCTTGGGCTGTTGGATATACATAGACTTCGGCGGCGGCGCGGCTCTGTACTCATTGGTCGGTAACGGAGTCTTCTCGTGGAATGCCTTTACGGAAGCGGTCGGGAAGTCACTGTCACCCTAACGGGTCATACCATACAAACGCGAAACAATTAATTCACACATCGCTAGCAAAACAAGAGTTTAAGTGATCATTACTCGAGCCACGGCTCCGGAGATGACCAGAGGTGTGGCTTTGGGCGGCACCTCCTCCTCCAGCTCCTCCTCGTCCTCCTGTGTCTCGTCCTTCTTGGGCTCAGCGGCGGGTTTCTCGTGGTGTTGGGTCTTGTGTTGCGTTATTCGCATTCCTCCGGCTTTTACTGTCAGTTGTCATACATTTTAGTCATAGAAATCAAATCAACACTCAATTGAAGACAACAATCAAAAACCATATGTTTTGCACAAATCGTCGCATTTGAACAACGCTTTCAATGGCTTCATAGGACTAAACAGCCTGTGATAGGCCTTAAGTAGGGCTCACCTGCGGGCGCGTGGCCTCCCTTGAGGTCAGTGGGCTCTTCACTGGGCGCTGACATTGTCTTACGAGTGGTTATATTACTGAAAGTGTCGAAAGTCTTTGTGTTTTTGAATCAAATTGAGACAAACGTTGCGTTTAATCGTCGTTCAGATAAAGCAATGATTCAGTGATTGATTGACTGAAAACGTAAACATGAATGCATTGCAAACAACACTCACTTATTACGTGTTAGCATCACATCAGGGGTTGACGTGTGGGTCGACACTGGCTTTCACTACGAAAGCGAACCCAAGAATGGCGTGAAGGGGGCACTCGGGGGGCGCCACTCGTGCCACACATTTGTTGACGTCTTTTATTACTGCCTTTTAATCCTTGTTGTGATTGAAAGGCATAACAAGTGTCGAGAAACTGATTGTTATCTCCCGTTAAGTGCCATATATTTGACGACATTTTGTCCACTCTTTGCACACATTTCTCGCGGTTCACAGCAATTGTCTGACACCACAGAGTTGGAGGAATGGATCACAGTTAGTACGCCTACCCATACATCAATGGTATTTAACGGTATATATATCTCTACCTGAAGGTCACGTCCACGCCTGCAATCCGTACCTATGGGTGGGAACGGCTGTTGCGGTCGGTTATGCCGTTTACATGACATTGAAATGCAAGAGCGCTTCCGCCGCGGCCAACAGCGTATATCTCCACCTGAAGGTCACGTCCACGCCTGCAATCCGTACCTATGGGTGGGAACGGCTGTTGCGGTCGGTTATGCCGTTTACATGACATTGAAATGCAAGAGCGCTTCCGCCGCGGCCAACAGCGCCGGCAACAAGTCGTGTGTGAATGAGTGCGTGAAGAAGGACGCGGACAAAGTGGTGGACTCTTTCGACATCGAGGACATGGGCGCGAAGACGGTGTTCTGCCGGTGCTGGCGCTCCAAGAAGTTCCCCTTATGTGACGGCGCGCACAACAAACACAATGAGGACACCGGCGATAATGTCGGGCCACTTATTGTCCAGAAGAAAGGCAACTGAAGACACCACTCAATGATAGGGTTTTTATTGTAATTATCACACCATTTATGGATTACAACCACAAACGAGACATTTATATATATTTGTAATTAGATTTGATTTACGATTAATTGCCATAAAATAGGAATTATATAATTATATAACAATTTAGTTTTTAACCCATAAATCTCTCCCATAATAACTCCTTTCCTAGGGTTACCCTCCACTCCCGTTCCCTACAGTTCCTTACAGTTCATATAATACTTTGTTTGTAGACACGTTTGTCTTAGTTAAAATCGATTGAATCGATAATTAGTTGTTTTAACATTGATTTGTAATTAAGAATAAAAGTTTCAATAAATTTTGTTTATGTATAACGAAAATGATATAAAATATGAAAACTTAATGACAGCGAAAATGTTAAAAATGTCAAATACTGTATCAACACATGTAACAAATAACTTAAATGTCATAATTGCGAAACTTCTTGAGCACATCATTGCAATCACTGCTCCAATCCGTGGCGAACACTCTGGAACCGCTTCCAGACCGGTGTTGGCGTTGGTCTGAGCTCTCATTATCTCCATTACCTATCATGAGATCCCTTTTGTAGTCATTCCTCCAATGCATGGAAGTCTGCGCCCCTTTCCCCAAACGGTTCCACTCTTCGAAACTAATGGCTATTCCACTGCTTCTCCATTTGTCGTACTGTTTCCTCATCTGCGGATCAGTTAAAACCTCTTTGGCTTTGACCAACTGTTTGAACAGTTCCTCCGATTCCTTGTCATCGTGTTTGTCGGGGTGCAGAAGAAGCGCCCGATTCTTGTACTCACATATGATTTGCTCCGACTTTTAAGACAAATTACCTCTTTGGCTTTGACCAACTGTTTGAACAGTTCCTCCGATTCCTTGTCATCGTGTTTGTCGGGGTGCAGAAGAAGCGCCCGATTCTTGTACTCACATATGATTTGCTCCGACTTTTAAGACAAATATATGCCATCAAAATCTCATACAAAATACATTTTCCATCTAATATTTACGGATGAGTTTGAATCGCAGCCCAATGTCTGGTAGTAGTCTTCAGTCGATTTATTCTTCTTGTTTCCGAACATATTATCCATTTGTGGAAACAATTGAAGGAATGTTTTCTGAATATATTTCAATTGAATGTCAAATAATTTATTAAATATTTTACTGAATAACAATTAAATCAAAGTTTTAATAAATAGTGTCTTAATAATACTGTATTAGAAATATTCTGGTTATAAGATAATTTAGCTAGTAAGTGAGTATAATAGTAAATTCTAAACGTATCATGGTAAGTTCATCAGTAATCTCTTTAAGGATAGAAATAAATAGATTGAATGTATGGATACTTACGGATACTATACAGTACTATACTAATTGAGATGACATTCAATGCCTAATCGATGTCAATGTTTGTCACATAATGTCTGATAGTATGCGATGAATGCAATGACTGAATGAATTGATGAAGCAATCGTTGCCTAACATCACAGCCAATGGGAGTGACGTTTAGCTGTGTTTTCGTATTCATTGAGTCATTGAATGCAATGAATGCGTGAATCGTATGACAACTCAGCAAACGGTGTAAACAAACAGACAAACAGTCAGTGAAACACATTGAAACACCATTTGGACACTAATTGGCGCAATGATTGCCGACACATCTGTGGCCAGACAGTCCACTCAGCAGTGGGAGGGTATGTATACATCACGGGATGCCAGTGTCTGTCATATTAACCACTCTTTGTATGTCTTGTATGCGCGAAGAGTTGAGACGAGAGGCCAGACATTACGAGAATGAGTTGGACTCAAAGCTCTTGAGTTTCAGTAAACTTGTCTCCAAAGACATCACCAGAGATGACGAGTAAGTGTTGTGTCCATCACTACTCACCGATGACTCGTCCAATACATAGATGATGTCTGTTTGCAGGAGCAGTGAATCGGTGCCACTGATGGACGACTCGAGGGATGGCTTCGAGCGCCTGAACTGCGAGATCGATAGCCTTCTTCGGGCCCTAACGGACGTGAACAACCAAATGAGTCAATACTGCGAACGCATACAGAATGCCAGCGCAACCATCTATACTCTGCAGAGACATCGGGAGATACTCCACGACTACAGCAATGAGTTCAACAAAACCCGCAATAATATTGAGGCGAAACTCAATAGAGAACTACTGTTGGGTCCGCACAAGAAGGACACCGGGTATGCCATCACTCGCGCAACGCCTGTCCATTCATATAGTGTTTTAATGACTGCATTGTCCGACACAACAGCTTCCGGACGACCACTAACAAGAAGAACGACTCACTCCTGAAAGAGAGTCAACACATCCGGAGTTCTGAGATTATGATCGACGAGCAGATCAACGTTGCCATCAACACGAGACAGCATCTCATAAACCAGAGGAATACCTTCAAAAGCATTCAGACACATATGACAACACTGGCCAGTATGTCATGCCATCACTTGATCCATTCGTGTGCTAATTAATCGCTCGCTTTGCTCTCATTTCAGACAAATTTCCGTTAATTAATAGTTTAGTGCATCGAATCAACATTAAGAAGAAAAAGGATTCAATAATCTTAGGGATTGTGATCGCGATTTGTATGACTTTTCTGATTTTATACATATTTTAGTCATTTTATAGCCATTAACTATCGATAATAAAATAAAAGTTGATTAAAGTTTTTATTAAAATATTTATATTTTTATTTCAAATCTCATGTGAAAATCCAATCTTTCAAAACATTTTAATATATTATTTTTTTTGGCAAAAAATTGTAATAAATTATAATCACAGTTAAAGTCGTTATACTGTTTTTAAAAAATTATAATCAATTAATAAATTCTACTAATATTAGAGTTGAATATAAAACTTATTAAAAAAACTTTTAATAAACAAAACTCTAATAGTATAATAACATAAAATAAAATATAAAGTAAAAATCAATAAATTGTAACTGTATTATGAAATACAATACAATACAGTAATTACACTGTATATCAAATTCCACTCATTTATGAAATAGTTTTTATATACCGTTAATATAATAATATAATAAAATGATTGTTTTTACTAAATCTCTACAAAAACTTATACCGTATTTATCGACCAAATCAATGGTCACTTCGGCGGCTATAAAATGATGGCCACATTAGAGCGCAGCTTATATTGAAGTGACAAATATATCTCATGTGACCTCCAATTAATGGCTCAAAAAAGTATTTACACGTAAAATATTGATCGAGAATATCGGCGCCCAATGTCGTGACTGGTGGTGACAATGGGAACACCATTTGTGCGATCGATCCTATGGACGTTTGATTCGGGGCCAACTTATGGCTGGAAAACTGGACACAGAATTATACCATTAATCTCAAGAATATTCTACAAATCAAATAAGACATACAAACGAAGAATTTTGTTTTGTGACTGTTTTCTGGGGAAGAGCTTGTCGTCCGGTTCCCGATTGATGGGTCCCTCCACGACCAGGTCATCCGAGTTTAGCTCAAGTGTGGTCTCGTGTATTGAATTCTCCAGACTTTCTGCGGGTTTAATCTCCGGCGGCTTTAAGCGCATCACCTCTTCCTCCAACTCTTTGAGACGCTTTTTGACATAATTTCTCTCCAGAAGAATGTTTCGGAGTTCGCTCATTGTGAATGGTTTGTGTTCGTCAAACATATCCAGATCATCGTTATTAGCGAGCAAAATGTGTTCAGACATTCCCATCAGATCCTTATAATTGGGATCAGCTCTGGCTTCGGACAACTGCAGCATTTGGTACTTATTGTGTTTCACTCGTCGCCTCAGATCTCGGTTTTGTTGCATTACTTCATCCAATTGATCCGAAAGCTAAGGAATCAGATCTCATGTAAGAACTCAATGATCACTAAAACAAATCACTTCTTACTCTTTCAATCTCAGCGTTCTTTGAGTCCATTTCCTTCGTAATTGATTCCACTTTTTGTTCGCTTCTTCTGATGGACTCTTTCAACGCGAAGATCTCGGAATCGATTTCCATTTGTCCCCTCTTTTGAAGATCTAATCAATTGTCACACAATTACTCATATATGAAATGTTTACCAAATCGACAGAAATTCGTGTCAAACCTGTCAACGACTGCGAGAGTGTCTGCTGGCTGTCCACCAAACGATTACTGAGTCTGAGATTCTGGTGTTGCAATTGACTGACACATTGGGTGAGCTGTAGGTTCTCCTTCCTCCAGTTCTCTTCGATGGACTCCATCTCGAGCTCGTATTTGTTGAGATTGAGAGCCCTCTCCCTCTTGTCGTTCTCCAACTCGAAGATCGTGTGCTTCAGTGTATCCGTCTTGGAGTCGAAGTCCTCCTTCAGGATCGTAATCATCTCCAAGTGCTCCAACACGCGGATCACTTTCGGCATCAAATGCTTCACTAACTCCGAGCCATGACCGGTGATCACCTTCTGGAACTCGTCGCCTATCTCTGCCGCCAAATCATACACGTCCTCCACCTCGATATCACCGCACTTTCTATCCATTCCTTCACGAAGTTTAATCTCAAGATAACTATAAATTTAAACTAATCTTTCAAATTAAGATTTAGTTTCGATTAAAACATAGCTAGGCGTTTTTTAAAAAACAATTAATATTTGGTATGAAAACAATTTCCTATTTAATCGACAATTTAATTAAACAGATGATAAAATGATTGCATTTATTGTTGACTTAATCTCTCTGATAATCACTTATTATGTTATGTAATAATTTTAATGACATTTGAGTTGTAATCTAATGGAAATGTATTTACAAATAAAAAACAGTGAGAAATATGAGTCACTCATGGATTCCTATATACTGTAGAACAGCACTCTATGTATGAATTCATAGACTATTATGAGATACAGAATAGACGTGAGAATGGATTCCTTCTCCCGATTAGATGCCATTCCCACCCATATATTGTCCCCAAATTCATCCAAACATATGCTCTTCAGTAATATTCTTATATTCTGTGTAATTATAATTATTTGTAAAAATATTTCCAGTATTTAAATTGATATTATTATGTTTTAGCATGCTTATAGTTTTATATTCTGTTAATGTGTTATTCATTGTATTTTATATTGAAATTCAAAATTTTGTTAACTAAATCATAAATAATATAAAACAAAAATGGATATTTTCCATATGTAAAATTATACCCAGATAATCTGACTTAAAAGTTAAAAATTCCCAATTTGTTTCCATGGGATTAGTTTTCAAGGTTTATTTAATTAGATTAGAAAAGCTTAGGAAATACAGTAAAGTAGAGAGAAACTCAGCCCTGGATTATAATCCATAGATCACACAGAATGTGAACTCAATACTATTGAATCAATACTATTGATGCTATTTCTCAAGAATTGGAGAAAACAAAAAATATGATTAAAATTCATATCATATGTCATAAGAACCAGAATATGAGTGCATTTGACAGATATTCTCCCAGATATACGACCAATCAATGCATACAAAGGGCGCAACTTATCTACTATTTAATGTTACGGACTTTTTGAGCATATATTACTTATTTAAAATAGATATCAATAAAATTACGTTTACTTTGAAGGGGTTAAGGGATTAAACATAAGGGACTTTAAAGTCATATTTGCAACCAATATATCCTAAGGGGGCTGTGCTTTGGTGTCACACCATATCTGATAGGAAACTCGTGCCGGATTGAGCGCACGCGCAGTGCATAGCTTTGAGGCCTTATATAAAGAGTGAACACATTTCCACTTCCTTTCCATTCATAGCGTGTAAAGCAATGGTTAGTACTTTGGCTCTCATTATCTCATTTGCCACACAATTTACCACTAATTGTCGTCAACTAACACTTGATTTCATACAAAACGATGCCTAACCACACCTATCGTATGTCATTGACAGTCTCACCGCAAGTTCTCCGCCCCAAGACATGGCTCGATGGCCTTCACTCCGAAGAAGCGGAGTCGTCGACATCGAGGAAAAGTGAAGGCTTTCCCCAAAGACGACCCCAAGAAGCCGATCCATTTGACCGCTTTCATCGCCTATAAGGCCGGTATGACACACATCGTGCGCGAAGTTGACAAACCCGGCTCAAGTAAGTCTCGCCAACTGATCCGCGCACACGTGTCACACCACGTGTTCACTGCATTGCATTGTCTTACCATTGATTTGTCCCTTAATAGAGGTGAATAAGAAGGAAGTGGTGGAAGCGGTGACTATTCTGGAGACACCGCCGATGGTTATCGTCGGAGTCGTCGGCTATATCGAGACCCCGAAGGGTTTGCGCGCCTTTAAGACCGTATGGGCTGAACATCTGAGCGAAGAATGCAAACGAAGATATTATAAGAATTGGTAAGAATTGTCTTCATTTGTTTGATGCGATCCACGGACTCCTCTGAGAGACCTGTTCTCAAGAGTTCAGTGATTGGCGTCAATAGTACGATGTCTTCGGTCTCCTCTCGTGGACGGCGTCTGTCCTCCGACTGAGACTGTTATCTCATTTCGTGTCCAAATCTGAATCTAAATAAAGGTATAAATCAAAGAAGAAGGCGTTCACCAAAACGGCTAAGAAGTGGGCGGACCCGTCGGGCAAACGCGACATCGAGAAGGACTTGATCCGCATGAAAAAGTACTGCACTGTCATCCGTGTCATAGCGCACACGCAGATGAAACTCATGCGTAAGCGCCAGAAGAAGGCGCACATAATGGAGATCCAAGTGAACGGCGGAACGATAGCCGAGAAGATAGAGTGGGCGCGAAAGCACTTCGAGAAACAGGTGGCCGTCGACGATGTTTTCACTGTGGACGAGATGATGGACGTGATCGGTGTGACCAAAGGCAAGGGCTATAAGGGAGTGACGAGTCGGTGGCACACGAAGAAGTTGCCGCGAAAGACCCATAAGGGTCTGCGCAAAGTCGCGTGTATAGGCGCGTGGCATCCGAGTCGCGTGCAGTTCACGGTCGCGCGCGCCGGTCAGAAGGGTTACCACCACCGCACAGAAATCAACAAAAAGATTTACCGCATCGGAAAGGGTGGCAAAGACGCCAAAAGCAATGCGTCCACCGATCAGGACATCACTGAGAAGACGATCACTCCTATGGTATGCAATGAATTGGTTTTTGTTTACTGTTTGGTTTATGAGACATCTGATGGATAACACATGTGTATAAACACTACCGAAACCTATTGAGGATAATTTAGGGCGGACTGAGTCTTATAAACTATTTGTTAACATTGTTTTTTTTATATTTTTCAATGATTTTAATGTGTGTTTGCGTTTATTTTAGGGCGGTTTCCCGCACTACGGAGAAGTGAATTGCGATTATCTGATGCTTAAGGGCTGTACCGTTGGACCCAAGAAGCGTGTGTTAACGCTGAGAAAAGTATGTATTTTTGTCGGTGAATGCGGTGTTGAATGACTGCCCAATGATGTTAAACAAAGAGCTTTTTAAATCTGAATATATATGTGATATTCAAAATGATAGGACTGAGAGTGCAGTGAATGATAGTTGCGATCGTAATAAGTATGCAATGATTTACTAAATGGTTTGTCTCTCCACTCCCGTAGTCACTGTTGGTTCAGACGAAGAGAGTGGCGACTGAGAAGATTAACCTGAAGTTCATCGACACGTCCTCGAAGATGGGTCATGGCAAGTTCCAGACGGCTCAAGAGAAAAAGGCTTTCATGGTAGGCATTCCTCTTGAGTTGTATTGTGAAGTGCTATTCTCCCGGTGCTAACAGTGATGATTGCAATTAGTTTTAATCCAATTACTAATGAAGATATCTTTTGCTGCCTTCCTTCTGAAGCATAGCCCGACCTCCCCTTCCATGCGATGGGGTTTTCATTGCATTTATTAATGGTTTGTTTTTTTTGTCTGATTGTAGGGTCCGATGAAAAAGGATCGCATCAAAGAGGAGAAGACCGCCGCTTAAGTTATCCATTCTTTGTATGCATTGAGTGTTTAATAAAAGCCATGAATTTAATAAAGAGTATTTGTAATTTATTTAACGCTTTATTTTTTGGGAAACGGATGTGTGTTTGGGTCTAATGTGTTGTACTTTTATGATACTGTATCCGGATATTTGGTCTCAGTTTTGATTATAAGCTAAGTATTGTCGATAAGTTCTGTATTCCAGTGATTAGGATCTGCTCTCTTGTGGGTTAAGTATAGTCTGACCACAAGTTTATTATCTATAAGCCGTATATGAGGTTAGGTTTAGTGGCAAATGTAGTGTCCAATGCGTGAACATGTGGTGCAATGCATGCGCACAACAGTTGCGCACAAAAAGGCGATGTTTTGCACAAACTTTTGAATCATTCAATTGATTGCATCCCAAGAGTGACACCAATTGTGGCCATCGTTTCCATTGTCTTCAATGTGTGGCAGAACTGCTTCTTCGCTCAACAAAGAGGCCATCAGTCGGGCCGCGGCCTACAGGTCTTCGGATGGCACGCCATACGTGCCGTGCGATTGGTTTGACGGCAACACCGCCACCAGTGATGGCAAACCAATGGACACCTCATATGAGCCACACTTCAACCAAACGAGTGGTCATTATCTGCCGGTTTTGGTCCGCAAGAGATCGCTCGACAACTCGTGCAAAGACACCGCTCAGAGAGTGTTGGTGTCCATGCGTTGGGGACTTCAGCCCCATTGGATCAAATCGGGTGACTCTTCGTCCAAAATCAATCCAATTAACTGTCGCTTCGAGACGATGGCAGAGAAGAAGACGTTCAGCGACGCCGTGAAGAATGGCAGGCGTTGTGTCGTATTAGTCGACGGCTTCTTCGAGTGGAAGACCAATAAAGACAACTCAAAAGATCCGTATTTTGTGTACTTTCCGCAGAAGTTCGTCGACTTTAAGAGTCGATCCGCGGATTCAATCAAAACGGAGTCACAACTGAGTGAAGACAACGAATGGAAAGGTCCGCGTCTTCTGACAATCGCCGGTCTGTTCAACAAAACGGCAGACAATTGCTTCACATTCACAGTCATAACAGTTCCCAATCACAAGAGTCTTGAGTGGCTTCACGACCGAATGCCAGCCATTCTGGACTCGGAGGACAGTGTCAGGGATTGGCTCGACTTCGAGAGGGTGTCCGTCGATAAGGCGAACGCACTTCTGGTGCCATTCGGTGGACTTGAATACCATTCGGTCTCACGTTTGGTCTCCAATTCGCGGAACAATTCAATTGAGAATATTTGGCCACAAAAGCCGACACAGAAGCAGAAGACCATTGATCACTGGTTTACGAAACCAAATGCAAACAAATCGGTCACAACTGGTCCGCCGATCAAAGACGAGAAGACGGACACCGATGGCATCGACACCAAGAAATTGAAACTTTAAATGACTTTCTATTGCAGTATCTCTTGTTATTAATGAATGTCTTGTAATCACCGCAAAGTATTTGAATCACTATTTTGTTTAATTATTTATTAATATATCCTAAGAATTGTTACAATAATTACAAAACACTTTATTATCCGTTCAGTCAATTCAATAAAGTTTACGTTTTATTCACATTTGTATTGTTTTGTCTCTCCTTTTGCTTTCGGCTTAAGAGTGAGAACTGATTCCTCTGTACAAACCAATCGGGAAGTGGTTTCCGCCAATCGGTGGGCGGTTCCGATCGGTACTCCCAGACATCGTTGGCTTTCATGGTCTCCAGTCTCTCCTCCTTTCGTCTCATTTCGCTTTCAATCACTTTATCCTTCATTCAGTCAATAGTTTTTTGTGTCATTCATTCACTCATTTATTTCTGTAATATATACCAAATCTTCGGCTTTTTTACTGTTCCTAAACTTCAGACAATTTTCATAGTCTTGTGACCATTGGCTGCAATCGATTGAATGTCCAAATATGAAGTACTGATGGACTCGGGCTCTCATTGCTGTCACGACACAAACCCAGTGATTATTAGTGAGAAATTCACACTGAAATGACAGTATATTGTCTCACATTTGCAATCCTTGTATTGCTGTCCATATCGTTCACACGGCCTCACGAGCCATGAATTGCTTCCCAAATGTCGAGTGCTTTCATCGAAATTAATCTCAGTTTCGGGCAAATCGTCCGAAGAAGACATTGAGGATGTGGTGCACGAGTTGTAAACAGACAGACACACCATATGACTACAATTCCCTCATTCATGCATTACTTTCCTCATAAATGATAGCAAATTCTACACTAGTTTTGCTCCCTTTCCATACAATTCAATAGAATCTATGGATTCATGTATAACCAAATTCTGTATTCACATCTAAAAGTACAACTGTATTTAAGTACAAGTATTTGAATATACAAATTAAGTTTACTAATTTGTAATTTAATAATTTAGTAGCTTGCATAAATTAGAATTATAAGATTTCTTACTTCATTTTTATTTGAATTACAACATTATAAACAATTATTATTACAATAGTATTCAGATTATGTTTATTGAGTTTTTCGCTTTAAAAAAAGGTTTATATTTGGTTTATATCACAAATTAGTCTTGAAATCGGTATCACATAAACTATTCACACACAGAAAACCAATGCTTTGGAAATGTTTTAGAAAAAGTTTTTCTTTGAATTTGTGCACAACTCTAGTGTTCACTTAATTTATTAGTATTTCTCCACAAATATAGTTGACTCCAAATCATGTAATACTTTGGAGGGGACCCACCGTTTTGTCCAAATCATCATTACTTTGATTACAACTGTATTTAAGTACAAGTATTTGAATATACAAATTAAGTTTACTAATTTGTAATTTAATAATTTAGTAGCTTGCATAAATTAGAATTATAAGATTTCTTACTTCATTTTTATTTGAATTACAATATTATAAACAATTATTATTACAATAGTATTCAGATTATGTTTATTGAGTGGTTAAGAATTGTTATGTAAAAGAGCACAGAATTGATATGAATTTTTATAATTATTTTGTGTAAACCATTTTAATACCATTTGTGTATTGATTAGACTAGGTGGCAAACTAGATGCTTATTGGCTACGGAAATTAATTTTCAGTAAATTTTGTAAGATATTAAAATAAATAGCAATTGTCAATAAAATTAAAATTGAGGAATAATGAATTGAGTAGAAAATGAGCACAAAGTATGGCACAAAACATATGAATCACATCCAAGATATATGCCTTCAGGTTTGAGATAACTGTTTGCACTAAAGGCTGCGCTCTCAGCCTATCCATCCATTCCGTGAATTGTGGTTAAAAAATAGCTGTTTTTCGCTTTAAAAAAAAGTTTCAGTTTATATTTGGTTTATATCACAAATTAGTCTTGAAATCGGTATCACATAAACTATTCACACACACAGAAAACCAATGCTTTGGAAATGTTTTAGAAATAGCTTTTCATTGAATTTGTGCACAACTCTAGTGTTCACTTAATTTATTAGTATTTCTCCACAAATATAGTTGACTCCAAATCATGTAATACTTTGGAGGGGACCCACCGTTTTGTCCAAATCATCATTACTTTGAT